GGGGGGGGGGGGTATGTGTATGTAATGTTCTCTTTCGTTGCTATGGTCTGTAAGGGGGCCTGTCTGTAAGGGGAGGGAGGGAGCCGCAAAACCTTGAACTTAAAACTGTCACTCACTATTTTCTTCGAAAATATACGTGAGTTCCACAAAAGAAATCGAAAAAATACTGTGTGTGTAGATGTAGTCATAGATTAGCGTTTAACTTTTCGTAGATGTCATTCAATACCATAGGAAGAATAGACATGATTCATTGAAAAGTTTTGGGTTTGAAAAAGAGTTTCTACAGAGAAGAGAGAGTGAAAGATAAAGTGGGTGTGGGTACACTCTAAAAAAAAAAGGTTTCCTCGGAAACCGATACCCCTTCGGAAACCTTTTCGCAAACCTTTTTAGGTTTCCGGAAGGGTTTCCGAACTTATGTTGAGTTTCTGACAATACCTTGAGGGTTTTCGAGCATCCGGAAACCAATGGATTTTGGAGAGAGTGGATTCGGAAACCCTCAACCGTATTCTCGGAAACCGGTTTTGCTTCGAAAACCTTTTCGGATACCCATTGCGTATCCTCGCATACCTTTGGGTTTTCGATATTTTTTTATCGAAAACCCTTTTGGGTTTCCGGGCATCGGAAACGGTCGAAGCGTTTTCCAGAAATCTAGCAAGGTTTCCGAACATAACTGGAAAACCCCTTAGGGTTTCCGAATGTTGCGAAAACCTTTGAGTTTTCGAGAAAAAGTTTCGAAAACCCATTAAGTATTATGCAAACCCGATTAGCATTCCAATATGATCTTTTTTATTCTCATGTTCTATCGTGTGATTTTCAGGTAAAGCGGTGCTCGATATGCATGACATAAACCTTACTTAATTTGTGTGAAGTTGCTTTGTAAAACATAAGAAATCTGAGAAGTGTAAAAGAAGGCCTTGTTCTCAAAAGAATTCTAATTCGTTTTTATATTTCAAATAGCCTAAAATTTGGATGTATTATGACACATTTTACTGTGAAAATCGAGGAGTCGCGCTAAATTGGATGCTCACTATATGCACTCTAAAGGCATCATAGTCAAGCGATTTCGTGCCGAACTTAGGTTTTTCTTCCCTCGTTATACTATGGACACATGTTCACCAATATGAAATTCAGATCAACGTTAAGAAGTTAGATTAAGGGTTACAATAAGCGGACAGATATACATTAAAGAGTTAGAATAAGACCACGCAATAAGACATTACAACAACGAGTTAGAATCAGAGAATACACATAGATTAAGGACTTAGATTAGCACGATACATTTAGGGATAGATATAGATTAAGGAGTTATATTAGAGGTTAGAATAAAGGGGTAGAACAAGAAAGTAGAATAAGGGGACAGATACAGATCAAAGAGGAACAGACTGATTTCCGATTTCCTGATTTCTAGTGATTTCCATGATTTATGACGATTTCGAGTTAGAGGAAGTCCGCTACCGTTCCGTTGCCAAATAACCGGTAACGAAAAGTTTGTGAGTTTCATTTTTTGTTAGGATAAGGCTATTTTCAGAAAATAACGATTTTCCATAAAGTTTGACCAAAGGTTATCGAGGTCGAGGAATCCGAATCCATGAGCCGTTTTACAAAATTTATGATTTTCATTCTTTTGTTAGGATAAGGCTATTTTCAAAAAGTAACGATTTTCTATAAACTTTGATCGAAGGTTATCGAGCTCGAGGAATCCGAATCTATGAGTCGTTATACAAAATTTGTGAGTTTCATTTTTTTGTTAGGATAAGGGTATTTTCAGAAAATAACGATTTTCTATAAAGTTTGGCCAAATGTCATGGGGGTCCAGGAATTCGAATCTGTGACTCGCTTTTCAAAATTTATCAGCTTGATTTTTTCGGCCACTGAAGGCCTATTTTGCAGAAATGTGGATATTCCCATAGAGCTGGCAAAACTATGAGAAATTGCTTCACCCTGACAAAAAAATCGAAACTCGAAAATTTTTCGACATCACTTATAGATTTGGATTGCTCGACTCCGATAGCTTCCGATCAAACTTTATACGAAAATCATCATTTTCGGAAAATACACTTGCCCTAACGAAAAAATCAATCTCACAAATTTTTCCTTCTCAGATAACAGTGATTTCTTACCCCTACTATGGATATCAAAATTCTGACAAGCTGAGATATACACACAATAGCAAGGATCTCTATTAATTTCTGTTGATTTCAAATTGATTTCTGGCATTAGAAATCAGTTTCTTTCCCCTTGATATCGATGAAGAAGTTAGATTAGCGGTTAGAATAAGGGGATAGATATAGGTTAACGACTTGGATTAGAAATTAGAACAACAGAGTAGAGTGAGGCCCCAAATGAAGAGGTTAGAATAAGCAATGGAATAAGAGATTAGAATAAGGGGATAGATTAAGGGGTTAGAATAGGGGATTAACATGAGGGATTAGAATAAGGGGATTGAATAAGGGGACAGCTGAAGGGATTATAATAAGGGGTTAGATTAAGGGGTTAGAATAAGGATTTCGATTACACGGTTAGAATAA